GCTCCTCAGCCAACACCAAATGGCGGCGGCCCCTGGTCACAATTTTCGGTGCACGTCAAAACAAAGCTCACCACGCATTCTTCACGAGCTTTCGCTGCTCCCTATGGAGTCCTCGTCCACCGTTGGCCGCCCTGTGACCCGCCAGCTCCACCATTAGTATCCCCCCTCGAAACGGCCTAAAGGTGCGCTCGTCAGCCGACACCAAATGGCAGCCGGGCCCCTGGTCACAATCTCTGGCGCACGTCGAAAAAAAACACACATCGCAGTTTTCTCGCGTGCTCGGTCTTTATCATAAGGTCCTCATCCACCTGCGGCTACCCTGTGACACAGCACTACCGTCAGAAACGCCCGGCGATTCGCGCGTCAAAAATCGCAAAAATCACTCTTGCTCTTGACTCTGGCAGCGGGCAACATGGATAGCATCTTCAAAAGAGGGCTTAAGATCGGTTTCTCACCTGCATTTGAGCGGGAGTGCTTCGTGCCGGATCTGACCAGGCACCGTGGCTCTTGGGCCTCGCTAGCGCGTCCATCAGCGCACGAGCCATCGCGGCTCCTCATGGGTCAGATCGAGGAATTGTCTTGACAACAAATGGCAGCCCAACACGAGATCAGCAAGAATGGTCCATCCATGACGGTCACGCGGCAATGTCGTTTGGCCACCCGTTCATCCATGACGTCGCTTGCACCTCGGCAGCACTTGCCCGTCGCGCCACAACGACGACAACGCACCACCAGGAGCGCGCGCGCGCCCCGCCCATGGCCCGCTTCATTGTGGCGCGTTTTGTGGCTGTGAGGAGAAAAAAAAAATGAAGTCAACTGCAAAGGGAAGGATATAGAGGCAAGAGGTTAATGCAGCAAAGTTTCAATTAATTGAAGCAGATCATAGCCATTCCAAGTAAAAAGATGCAGTCTATTCAGCAGTTATTGAAGATAATAAAGATGATGACATTCTGACATTCGGTTCTTCTCTAAAGAGCTTCCTGTGTGTGTTAAACGAAAACTGTCGAGGGGGCCGACTTGGGCTTCCGCCGCACAGGGAAGCAGGACCCTCGCACTTTCAAACACAAATTCCACAAGACGCCAATGCCCATCCCCTGGAAATGGGCAAGGACCGGACGAGTACAGCCACTTGACAAACAAGTCGCGCGTTTTTATATCCTTCAATGTCCTTTCCCTCAAGTTGTAGCCCATCCGTTTTGCCAGGTCGCGCAGCCCCGAATGACAGTCCGAATAAAGGAGGAGACAGCTCAGGCCCGAATCCAGTCCTTGAGACTGCCTGCAACGGTGATTCCGTGTATCCCATCCACGAATCCCCTTTGGCATTCCACAAGCGTAGCAGCACGTCCATTTGGGATATGCGAAGCCCACGAAACATTCACTTGTCTCGTGTCCTCCGAAGTGACACCGCTTGCAACCACGATTAGATACGCATTGATGCTCGGCCTTCAGGACGGGTTTCGCCTGTCGAATGGTACATCGCATGCAGTAATCATCCATCAACTTCAGAACGCCAATAAACTTGTCAGCCGCCGCGTAGTTCATCAGATATTTTTTTTTGTCCCCGATTTCGACCGANATA